CTTACTTCTTGGGAGGAGAGCAATGTCCAATCGTGATAAAATAGTGAAGAGTAGAGACATCACACTGGCAATGAAGATCTGCATAGTTAAAGCAATGGTATTCCTCATAGTCACCTACGGATGTGAGAGCTGGACCATAGGGAAGGCTGAAAGAAGGAAGATAGATGCTTTTGAACTGTGGTGCAGGAGGAAAGTTCTGAGAGTGCCTTGGACTGCAAGAAGATCCAACCAGTCCATACTTCAGGAAATAAAGCCTGACTGCTCATTGGAAGGAAGAATATTAGAGACAAAGTTGAAGTACATTGGCCACATCATGAGGAGACAGGAAAGCTTAGGAAGGAAAAAGGAAGAGGGGTCGACCAAGGGCAAGATGGATGGATGGCATCCTTGAAGTAAGCGGCTTGACTTTGAAGGAGCTGGAGGAGGTGACAGCCGACAGGGAGCTCTGACATAGGCTGGTCCATGAGGTCACGAAGAATCGGAAACGACTGAACTAATGAACAACAAGTACAGAGACTTGAGAAACACAGGTCCACTAGTTTAAGTGTAGGTTGCCTAATTTACATCATATGTTTCGACAAAAATCTAGATTGTAAGATATTGTAACCCAAGAGTTTCTGAGAATACCAACACTTCAGAATACATGGCTGCTCCTAGTACACAACTTTGGGTTGTATTTTATTAATACTAAGAAACAAGGAGGTAAATATTCATAATTATCTCCATTTCATTTTTATACTGCTGCCTAGGTTGGGATATTTTTTCCAAAGGACTTGTATATATTCTGTACCTGGCAATAGTACTGTAGTCAATGGGGGGGGGGGGGGTCTTGAAGTTTGCTGTGAACAAAACCATTAGGACCTGATTTCTGCAGTTTTCATCTCAGTCTAATATTTCCCATGGATGATTATAAGATAGGATTCTATACTGGTTGCTGACCATAAATAAAGTTTTGATTTGATATTTCCCATAAGCAACAAAGTTGATGCAAAAATCATGGCTTCAAGGTCTAGTATGGAATATGTCAGTTCAACAGTCAGAAAAATGTAAAAGCTGTCAAATCAGTTTAGGCAACCAAGCACACATTTCAGAGACACTGTAAATTTGGTGAGCTATTAGAAATGCCTACAGTGATACTGGGTGGTTGGTCCAGCAAGTTCAAGGTGACACTCTGTTTTCCTTTCTATGTCAAGTGACTCAAGTTCATATCTACACTTTGTGGCAACAAAAAAAACTGAAAGACTTATGGGTCCTTCTAGGACAAGTACATCAGTTGTCATATTCAACAAGAGAGAGAGAAATACTGTTTGCCAATGTTGCAATGATCTTGGAAGGTCAATCTCTTGAAAATGATTAATATAGAGAAGGCCATAACATATAGCTATCATGTATCTTAACAACCATTCTGTCAGTTATTGAAATATATGTCAACTCTGACATTTGACAACTTATATAGAAGAATTTGATCAATCATTTCAAAATCTGCATATCAAACATTTTACTTTCCATTTTACTTTCCAAGTCTTGTTCTGGGCTGTTATTTAGTGGCATTGTTATCTAGTGCATCTGTACATCTTTCACTTGTACTTTTGGCCTTGTTCACATAGCCAGTTCCCTCCAATACCATTTGACATGTGATGCATCCAAGTGAGGTAGAAATGAAGAACTAAACCTGCAAAACTCAGAGACAAGCCCAAGATCTATGATGATGAATATGACTACATACAAGCAAAGCTTTAGATCTTAAAGAAAATAAACTATTATGATATAACATCAATCATATGGAATGGAGTCTTTGTGGGCTGTAACCTTATCGTAATGTCATAATTATTTGTGTATATCAGAACAACTCTGAAAAGCTACTTAAAAGTATATTATGAGGCATCTAGAAACAATCCATATCATTCATACCAGTCCTAACTACATCTATGCAGCACTATCAGTTCCCCGTAATGCTTAATTATAATTCAATCCCATTCTAAAAAATATGCTTTATAGATCTTTTGTGTTTAAATCTCCAGCTGCAACAAGAACAGTGTATAAAATTGATATTCTGCAGATGCTCATTATGAAACACATTCAACTGAAGAGTTGCAATCTTCAGTCAATATAAACTGATGATCACAACAGAGAAATGTATTCAGAATAAATTTCATGTCAAAATATAGCCATACTTGGAATAGTTTGAAAGAAAAGCAAATGACAGGAGAAAAAAAATCTGATATATTTTTGTATTTTTACAAGTGCCCCCTTTTACTAAAAAAAACAACTTGCTTCATAAAAGAACAATGTATTCATTCTTATCTCAAATGTTTTAAAACTTTGCTTGTAATTTTACTGCTATACCTCTGACCTATTCATCTATGTCAGATCCAGACAAGCCAGCTGAAACATAAGCTCAAACATACTTGATTAACCTCTTATTATCTACATGTATTTGTTTTTCTTTCATGACTTGTAATATTGAAAATATTAGAAGGCTTGTGGGAGGTGGACTGTGGGTGAATCTATTTTGTAGAATTGACTCAGTTTTGCAACACTTAACTGCCATGGGTCAATGCTATGCAATTATAGGAACTGTAGTTTTGCAAGGTTTTTAGCCTTCTTTGCCAAAGGGTGACTCACCAGATTACAACTTCCATTATTTCATACATTGAGCCATTGCATTTCAAGTAGTGACAAACGGCATGGCAATTAGCATTGAATTGAGTCAAATTGCATGAATATATATATATACATACAGCCTATGTCTAAATAGGCACTGGACCTCAGAAATTATGCTTGGCCTCTTTGGACATAGCAGGAATACAGGAACAGCTGAACTATATATATTTGAGAAGTAAGTTATAATGAAAAAGATTTTTTTAAAATGATTTTTATTAAATATTTTATAAAACAGGACAACGAAAGAGGGGGAACAATAAGAAGAAAATAGAAAAGTAGGAAAAAAGAAAAAAAACGACAAAAAAAAAAACGACAAAAAAAAAGACTAAACTAACCTAAACTATTCTAAAATGACTTCCACTCCAACATCAGGATCTTTTCCATCAACTTCTTCTACTCTTGTCTATTCTTATCCTCTAATATTTTTCTAAATTTCTTTTCATAATCATAAAAAGAAGTCCAGTCTGTTCTCTTTAGCGGTTTCCCGGTATTTCTTCTCATTAAAAATGTCAATTCGTCCATGTCTCTAATTTCTTTGACTTTCTCCAACCATTCTTCAACAGTAGGTATCTGTTCATTTTTCCAAAATTTGGCAAAAATAATTCTTGCCGCAGTGGTAAAGTACGTGAATAATTTATCTTCATTTTCCTCTACTTTAAGGTCAGAGTCCGTAAATCCTAATAAATAATATTCAGGTTTCTTTCTAAGCCTTCTCTTCAGTATCTTTTGTATTTCTTCATGTATAGATGCCCAGAACTTAGTTGTTTCTTTGCAAAAGATTTAAAAGATAAATGGCTACTATTATCTAACCTTGGTAATAAAATTTATTCTCAAACATAAAGTCTCTTAGTTACAAACATCCAACTTACAAACGACTCACAGCTAAGAACAGGGTGAGACAACAGGAAGTGAGAGAAATCTAGGAAGGGAATTCACTCCTGGAAGAGTTATTGGGGAGAAAAGACATCTCCACTGAAGCATTCTGACCAATCTTTGTTTCCCCAACAAGTATGTGTGTGTGTGTCTGGAGTTACACTTTAAAATGTACCCGTTTCGAATTACAAACAAATTCCACTTATGAACCTATCTTGTTTGTAACTTGGAGACTTCCTGAAATATATATTACATCTATCTATCTAACAATCAATCAATCAATCAATCAATCAATCAATCTATATATAGCTATATAAAGCATAGTGGTATTTTGGTAGTAGTATTGGGAAGACCATATACTTGAAATAAGAGCCTTTAGAGAAAGGGAATTGGTTCTCTGTTTGAAGTGTTAAGCTGCAAATTGTGAACACTATCTGAAAGAAAACCTGCACCATTTCCACAGTAACCATAATAACTTTATTTGCTATGGTAACAATAAGTTTAAATGAATTTGATGAGAAACTATACATCATAGGAAATGCACAAAATCCTGAGTAAAGAATATACATACTTCAAATTTTTGTTGACTTCCAATGGACTAGTAAACTGCAGGATGGTTGCTAAAGAAAGATTATAATTACCCCCAAATCAAGAGCTATCAGACTTTTATATGAAGGGGATGAGTTGTCTCCTAAACAAAATAACTGCACTCCTAAAATGTAAATATAATGCATCTGTTTTTGTTGTTTTCCAGCACAATAACTACTGTCTCTACTCCAAGCATTTTTTAAAAATAGAGATTACCATAAGGTTTGTGGTAATGTACTTTACCCTGATGAGGTACAGGGCCCTGTAAAAAAAAAAAAGTCCTGCCATGTGTACACAGTTCCTTGATCATATGTAAGTGGGCTCTTTGGTCCACTGTAAGCTCTGTGATCCCCAAATGCCTCCCAAAATGTAATGATCACTGCCTTTAAACTTACAATTTTTAAGCATATGTAATCTGCATACTCTGTTGCTTCATCCCCAAAATGTCATCATGCAAATGTACAGAGGATTCTGCAAAGTATTGTATCAGAATCAAGATGGCATCCAATACCGAGAACTAACAACTTGACCAATTCACAATAATATTTAATGCACCATAATAGCATTATAACCATCAACTTGTCCAGCAGTTACTATTAACTAGTAAACCATAAAACATTTAACAGCTTATTAAAACACGAAACCATCTTATATACTTGGCACAAATGAGAGCAAAATGGAATTACGAAAATGATAATTTTGCTAAATTATGTGCATAAATGTTACAGTAAGCAGTTATTATAGCTTATTGAATAGACTGCTGGAACGCTGTTCTGCTGAATTTTAGAACAAGGTTATAATGAATTTCCATGGTCCACTGGGAGCCAAGAGGAAGGTGGACAATAAAATTTTGTATATATGGGCATCCTTGAAGCACCAGAGACCACATGTTGAGTGACTATTTTTGGGAGAGTTTCTTCTTCAAAGAAGCAGGCATCTCAGGTGGTGGGGGGCGAGGCAATCTGAGATAAACCTTAACAGAGTCATAGATGAACCACTGCAGAGCAGTGAGGGTGCCGATCATCAGGATGCGGGTGAAGAGGCCTTTCCAGATGCCATACATGCCCAACCTCCTGAGGACACCGATGGCCGTGCTGCCCTTTTCTTTGTTGAGCACCGACACCACAGAATCAGCTGGGTGTGAGACTACTGCGCAGAAGATGCCTGCGATATATCCACCAATAAACGTCACTCCCAGTTGCTCCATCTTGCTGCACTTATCCCGTGGCTTGGGGACGACATACTTATAGAGAGCCTCCACGGTGCGCTCGAAGCAAGAGAACTTCATCATGGTGTAGGGGATCTGTCGCATCCACAGTGGAGAGACTCCCTTATAGAAAGCCCATAGTCCTTCTTCAAAGTACATCTTGGGCACAGCCTCCCTCAGCGTGTTTGCATAGCCCGGCTGAGTCTGGATCCGGACCTTGACTGCTTCCATGGGGGCCAATGCAATGTCAGCGAAGAACTCAGCACTAGCTGAAGCCGCTAGGTAGATGCTAGTTCGCCACAGATAGGCTTGTTCAGCATCCAACAAGTTGGTGTAGTAGATCTTGAAGAACTCATAGAGACCAAACTTGCCAAGTCCTTGCATTGAGTAGCCGATGGCTGTTGGGGCCCATCCTTTGACAAGGCCACGCATTCCTTCTTCATGCACAGTGCGGTTTAGGCCTTGCACAAGGCCTTTGTAGCGGTACGGGTCCACCTGCATCCGACACTTCACAACATCCAGGGGCACGACAGCCGTATGGGTCACGCCGCAGCTCAAGACGCCACCCAGAGAACAGAATAACAGATACGTCGGTGACCCATACTCACAGGAATCCTCCTCCTGGACTTCAGGCTGTGGCTTCTTCTTGGCAGAAGAAGCTGCAGACAGGAAGAGCCGATGCCTGCGCATGGAGTTGGCTTTGTCGTTTATGGAAGCCTCAGTGAACATTTCACTGTAGCTACTGGGAGCATCACAAGATGAATGGTGACCACTACTCCCTTCTTCTAAGCTCCAAGATGTGGGGCAAAGGACTGTCCAAAGCTGGGACCAGAACTTAGGGTGCGGGTATATGCTCCACTTGGCGGTCCTCATTTCAGTTTTCTCCTGGCTTCCAAAGGCTTTATTCTCAACACCATTTGGCTGAAGGCTCCAGGAAGAGGAGGCCTCTGTTCCACACATCAATGGCATAGGATGAAAAGAAGACAATCTGGGGTTCCTTGTCTCCTCTTTCCAAGGCTCCTCTCGGTCCGCCGAAGGCTGTGGCATACTGAAAACACGGGAGAAAAATCCTGCATAAGTATGGAATTGATATATACATATACATACATACACACACACATACACACACACACACACATATTTATATATATATGATTTTCAAAACAAATCCAGCAACTACATTATATGGCCATGTGGATGGAACCTCAAAATATAGAAATAATAATAATAATAATAATAAATTTTATTATTTGATATACCACTGTTTTCTCTTAAAGAGAACAGTGGTAATTAAAAAACTAATGGTATAATATTCCCACTCCATTATATCCCTATCTCTGCCAACAAACACTAACCAACTCTATCCCCCTTTTATTCAATAACACCACCAAAAACAACAAGAAACTATTAGAAACACACCTGGCTTCTCTCTTCTCAAGTCTGGAACTGATTCCACTTCCCCAACTGCCAGGAACTCCTGGGTTCTTCTGCTCATAGAGGATCAGCCTAGAAGGGCCCTAGAGAAGCTCTTCCTAGAGGAGTTTGCCAGCCGCTCTAGCCCACTCCACTATGGTTTAAATGCTTGCTGAAAGCAGGAAGGCCTGGCCTCCAGGGACAGGAAGGAAAGGCCTTGCATTGTTGAGAATAGAGGCCTGCTTGCCAGGCAGGTGGGGCAGGCCTTTCTCCTGCTTTCCTCTCTTGAAGGCAGAATAAGGCCCCATCTCTGCTCCCATATATATCTATATATCTATATTTCTCGAGTTGAAAGTGCATTATATGGTCAGTGTAGACTGAGAATGTTTATTTATTTATTTCACATATTTGTATCTTGTCCTCCTCCTCCCCCCCCCCTTCCCAAGAGGGGGACTCAGGGTGGCTTCACAACAAGCATTCATTCAATGCCAACAACAGTAATAAAGCAATTAAAACAATTCAGTAATGCTTTAAAATTACTAAAACATTGTTTAAATCACACAGGTTTGAAATCATAGTCCAGGTCACTCCAATATCATTCACACAAATTGGGTCGCAATCTAAATTGCTGCCTCTACTGTTCGAACGCTTGGTCCCACTGCCAGGTTTTGAGGGTTTTTTTTTTTTGGGATAAGAGGGAGGGGACCAATCTAATGTCACTGGGTAGAGAGTTCCACAGGTGAGGGGCCACCACTGAGAAGGCCCTGCCTCTCGTCTCCACCAATAGCGCTTGTGAGGATGGTGGGACCGAGAGCAGGGCCTCTCCCGTCAATCTTAGACTTTGCGATGGTTCATAGCAGGAGATGTGTTCAGACAGATAAGCTGGGCCAGAACCGTTCCGGGATTTATAGGCTAAAGCCAGCACTTGAATTGTGCTTGGTAGCAGATTGGCAACCAGTGGAGCCAGCGTAGCAGAGAGGTTGTACACTCTCTATATGCCACTCCAGTGAGCAACCTGGCTGCCATCTGTTGTACTAGTTAGAGCTTCCGAACAATCTTCAAAGGCAACCCCATGTAGAGTATGTTGAAGTAATCTATTCGGGATGTAACGAGAGCGTGGACCACCTGATGGCCAAGTCTAATTTCCCAAGGTACAGGTGCAACTGGCATACAAATTTTAATTGTGCAAAAGCTCTCCAAGCCACCACCAAGACCTGCAGTTCCAAGCTCAGCAATGAATCTAGGATCACTCCCAAACTGCGAACCTATGTCTTCAGGCGGAGTTTGACTCCATCCAGCACAGGCTGTAACTCTATGCCCTGTTTGGCCTTGCGACTGACCAGGAGAACCTCTGTCTTGTCTGGATTCAATTTGAGTTTGTTCACTCTCATCCAGACCATCACCGATAATGCATTTAATATGGTAGTGTGGATGGGGCCTATGGCACTCTCTCTGGCATTATTACCTGTTCCTATTCCTGGTGCTCTCAGGAAGGGAGTAAAGACACATTTTTCAAAATCTGGCATTTGAAACTCAATGTCTGTTGATTATTGGATTATTGTTATTGCTCATTCAAACTTCTTATTTTCTTAACATTGTTTTTCAGTTTTGCGTCCTGGGGTGCTTCTGCTTCAAAGAATGAATGCAGTTTGGTACCACTTGTACTGCCATGCCTCAATGCTGTGGAATCCTAGGATTTGTAGTTCGGAGAGGCAAAGAAGGCGAAATAGTTTCTAAAACTACAACTCCCCTGACTCCATAATACCGAGCCTTGGCAGTTAAAGCGGTGTCAAACTGTTAATTCTACAGACCAGATGCCCCTTAGCAACCTTGAAACAGCACTGAAAAACCCAAATCAACCAATCCCCTTTTTGGGCAAAGTCATGGAACATTTGGTGGCCTCACAACTCCAAGTGTTGGTGGAAAAAACTGATTATCTGAATCTGTTTCTTGCAGGAAGACACAATCAAAGCACTCCTGACAGATGGCTATCCAGTCTCTGCTTAAAATCCTCCAGAGAAGGAGACTCCACCACCCTCTAAAGCAGAAAATGGAATATCCCACTGCTGAACAGCTCTTACCATCAGGAAGGTCACCTTAATATTCTCTTTCCCTGCAGTTTAAAATCCTTTGAAGAAATACACACTCTTTGGATGGGATACGACTGTTCTGTCCAACCACATTCAAAAACCACCTAGCTACCTCATTAACGATGCCACTGATTTTCTGTATTTTACACATATCCTAGATGATTATAATGTGTATAAATCTCTTTAGGCCTTTGCACCTCAAGTTTTGATGTTCCAGCAATCAGATAGAACTTGTAGAGAGCCAGAGATGATATCCCCTCCTTGCATATATTTATTTAACTGACTCAAAGAAGCATGGATAAGCAAGAACACAAGAAGCTCAAGCTGATCATAATAAAACATTAATGTACTGAATGTTTAGTTCCTGTGTTCTTGCTATTTCATGCTGTTTTAGGCTGGTAATTGTGTTTACTGTATGAATAATAATCAGGGTGGGTTAGCTGGAATAGGACAGGAAAATACACACAAGCTTGGCCCAATCTCCAGTTATTATACATTAAGCCCTCGATCTTCTCAGTGGTTTGGTTCCAGGACCCTGTGGCTACCCAAATGGATGGATGCTCAAGTCCCTTTAAGTACAATGGTGTTATAAAATGCTGTCCTTTATTTTAAAAATGGTGAAGTCAGTGATTGCTTTTTTGATATTAAAAAGATATATTTTCAGGCCATGAATGTTGAATCAGTGAATGCAGAATTCATGGAATGGAGGGAAACTGTAAATAAGAGGAAGAATTAATACCTTAAGGCAGAGCTTTCCACACTGTGTCACTACATATTAGTATGTTGTCTGCGGTGGGAATATGTGTTGTGTATACGTAACAAGAAACCTCTGATTTCTATGTGAAATAATAAATAATATATATTTTTAAATGGAATATTTTAATGAGATTTGCTGTGTCATACATTTCATTATTACAATTTATGTATGTGTCCATAATTCTTATAAGGGCATGGTTCAACCTCTAGTTTGTTAGTAAAACTGAATTACTGTTTCATGAAATGATGCATGTCTAAAAAAAGATGTGTCACCAACACAAAATGTTTGGAAACCTCTGTCTTAAGGTATCATGCAAATCAGAAATCCAAACATATTCATGATTCAGTTTATATAACAAAGCAGGAATTCATTAGTTAAGGCGTCTAGAGTCTCATAAATACTTCACACTGTTATAGGAAAGCAATAGCTTTCTAATTTTTGTTGATGCTATTCATCTGCTTGGCAAAGTCCAGAAATTAACCAGTTTGGCAAAACATTAGGCCTACTCATGGTCATTAGTGCCCAATTTTGATCATTAGTATCCATGCAGCCAGCAGATAATGTAATATCTAGTGATAGATATTTAGAAAGGAATTGTCAAAGCATCTTATGGCATTTGCCTCAAATGTAAGGTTTTTTTTTCTTGTTTTCAGATTAAATCAGATCTTGATATCATATAATCCAGTTTCTGATATATATATATATATATATATATATATATATATATATATATATATATTAGCTGTCCCCTGCCACGCGTTGCTGTGGCCCAATCTGTTGATCTGGAAAATAAAGTAATGAGAAAGTGTTGGTTTCTAATATATTTAATTTCTTTATGCTTGTGGGTAAACAGTATTTCTTGTTGTTTCTTTGTCAGTGTTGATGTGGAGAGTGTCTGGTTTGCCCACCCTGGAACATATCATTGTCCTTCTTTAAGGGTCCCTTGATACTATGATCTATGATACTATATCTGTGATACTATATCTGTCATATACATGTGTGTGTGTGTGAATCATATCTATCTATCATCTATCTATCTATCTATCTATCTATCTATCTATCTATCTATCATCTATCTATCTATCTATATCTATGGCTGGATGGCTATTTGTCAGGAGGACTTTGATTACGTTTTCTTGCCCTGGTGAAAGTAGTTGGACTGGATGGCCTTAAGTTTTTTCTGTTGGTCATGGGGGTTCTGGGTGGGAAGTTTGCCTCAATTCTGTCATTCATGGGGTTCAGGATGCTCTTTGATTGTAGGTGAACTGTAAATCCCAGTGACTACAACTCCCAAATGTCAAGGTCTATTTCGCCCAAACTCCATCTGTGTTCATATTTGGGCATATTGAGTATTTGTGCCAAGTTTGGTCCAGATCCATCATTGTTTGAGTCCACAGTGTTCTCTGGATGTAGCTCCCAAACTCAAAATCAATGCCCACCAAACCCTTCCAGTATT